GGAAATTTGAAGCTGGAAAATGTTATGCTGGATCAAAATTTGGTGCCAAAGCTGATGGATTTTGGACTTCAGGGCATTTTTCAGGAGGAAGCAGGCTCTTCGTCAGAGTCAGCATCTGAGAGGGATATATACAAATTTGGACATATGTTGCTTCAAATTACAAGGGTCAAGAGGAATCCTTCACTAAATGATGATGTTAACCGTTTGATCAGCGAGATAGTGGAAACACATGGTCTGGAAGGACGGGATGGGTATGAGAGCGTAGAAAGAGTAGTTAGAATAGCTCTTTGGTGTGTGCAAACTCAACCATTTTTACGACCTTCAATTGGTGAAGTTGTAAAGGTGTTGGAAGGTACACTTTCTGTAGATAGACCTCCCTCAATTTTTGCCTTCAGAGCGGGGCAACAGATTGAAGCGGAGGAGCACAATGAAATTCAAGAACTTCCTTAGTTGAAGAAGCTGAATTTTGGCTAGGACTTCTGACTTTTTGTAGTCTTTTTTAGTCAAGGAAGTCTGGTTTCTTGGAGTTTGATCATGCTAATTTTACTCCGTAACAAGATTGAACTTCAGCGAGCAATCGTTACAATTAATTGTTTAACCAATGCAATCTTCTGTAAAGTGAAATGAATTTTGAATAGATGCACATTGTCATTTAGTAAAGCGAGCCATTTTGTGTAACCGCGAAGATGAAGTTGTATTTTCCATCTTAAGTTAGTACAGTATTTTTCTTGGAGGCTGGCACTCCATGTACTTCGTATAATGTTTTTTGAAATTAAAGCATTGTAAGCATTCTGCAATTAGGGAGTTAGCAGAGCAGATTGAAACAATACTTGTCATAAGAAACTTTGAAAATATTTCACTAACTGATTTTACTAATCTTACTGTTTTTTATTTATCTAAAAAAAATTAATTAGTAAACTTAGGCCATGTTCTCATATTATTTTCATTTCAGTTCAACTATAATAAGTTCAGTTCAGTCAACGAGAACATGCCCTTAATCAGTTTACTAATGAAGTTTCTTGGATTTAAAAATAAGGGTTTTTCTAAGATATGCCCCTAAGGTATTCGAGTTTCTAATGTGTACCCATGCTTTTTCAAGTTTCTAAGTTGTGCCCTTCAACTCCTTATGAATACTAAAATGTACCCTTATTAGTTGTTTAAATGTTATTTGAGAGTGTGATTTCATGGCTTCAGTTTTCATTATTAGGGTTACGGTGGCTAAGATTTCTTTATCCTACCATTTTTCTACCTTTTATCATCTTTCTATTAAATTTATAGTTAACTTTAGGTGACGTGGAAGTCCCAAGGTGAGTATCATTCATCAATGATAGTAAGTTGGGGGGCACAACTTAGAAACTTGAAAAAGCATGGGTATACCTTAGAAACTCGAATACCTTAGGGGTATAGCTTAGAAAAACCCTAAAAATAATTACTCCGTATTTAAAAAAACAAATATCCTTGAAACGTGTAATTGAGTGGCCTGTGTACACTGAAAATGGGTGGAGGGAAAGCAGACAAGCAACAAGAGTTGAAGAAGGTGCGTATTAATTTGATTTTAATTTAAATAAAATTAATTTTGTTGAAAACTTAATTGGGATTTGAAGGTTACAGTTTCTCTCTCCTCCATGGCTTGTACCCTTAATTTGGTAACCACAGGAGTGGTGAAGCAGCAAACCCAATTGGGAATCCCAACATCATTATCAAAAATGAAGGTTTCATTACCGAAATTGAGTGATTCATCATCAAGATTCAAGCTTTACAGCGGCACACCTTGTTCAATCTCAGCAACACCAGCAGTTGAAGAAGAAGAAGAAGGAGGCAAGAAGGCAGTTGAGTTTGAGAGTGAGAAAAGAGATGATGGTAAATTCGATTGGTATTCAGAGTGGTATGCAGTAGCCCCTGTATGTGACCTTGATAAGAGGGTCCCACATGGAAAGAGAGTGATTGGTCTTGATTTGGTAGTTTGGTGGGACCCAAATCACAAAACCTGGAATGTGTGTGATGATTGCTGCCCACATAGGTTGGCTCCTTTGTCTCAGGGTAGAATTGATCAATGGGGAAGATTGCAGTGTGTTTATCATGGTTGGTGTTTCAATTCTAATGGTCAGTGCAGCCTCATCCCTCAAGCTCCTTCCGACGGCCCTCCGGTTAACTTTCTCACACTTAATTACTCGTATAAGTTGTTATTAACATTATTATTATTATTATATTAGTACGAGTAACTTGTTGATTGCCATACATAATTTTGCAGGTTCACAGTTCCAAGAAAGCATGTGTAGCATCTTACCCTTGTACAGTCCAAAATGACATTCTTTGGTTTTGGCCAAATAGTGAACCACAGTATAAAAGCATTCTTACGAAGAAACAACCTCCTTATTTTGCAGAACTAGATGATCCATCATATGCCAAGTCCATGGGAACTAGGGATATTTCTTACGGGTATGCATAATCGTTATGCCAATTCGTGTCACATAGTGCAATTATATTAATGGTTGTGGCTGCCTTTTCAGATATGAGGTTTTGGTTGAAAACCTTATGGATCCTGCTCATGTTCCTTATGCACACTATGGAATAATGCGAATTCCAACTGACAAAAACAGATAAGAACATCTATGCATCACTTTTATGTTTAGCTATATTCTATACCTCTCTATGTAGCTTCAGGGATTTACATCCACCCTTATTTTCACACCCAAAGCAGATAGAGAAGGCGGGAGACCTTTGGACATCAATGTTCTAGAACTTAACAAAACTGGATTCCATGCTCAGCAAGTTTATTCCACCGTGCGTCTTTTTTGTTCTTCCAAATTCAACAACAAATCAAGGCCAATCATCATCCAGTCCTGAAATGGTAATCAGTTGTTGTACCACTGATTGTTATTTAGTGGTTTGCAGCTGACAAGTTTCTTTTTTCTTTAATCGCAAGGAAATGTATTGCTAGGGCTATGGATAAGCAGTTAAAAGTAGCAAAACTGGATGCTGAAAGCCCTGAAGCCATCTTTCACCACACATAAAATTACAGCTTAATTTTGAATATGATTATTTATGTGTCATTCATTACACGGACTAATTCATAGTGTCAGTATGAATCACCCTCTTGACCTGCCTTAACCCTAAAGGGCCTAAACTAGTTATATATAAATCTCCCTAAGCCCCACTGACTGCAGAATATCAGTTGGATTTATATGCTTCACTCTAGTTTTCTGTGATTTTTTGTTGAAGTGTATTTTTCCATTTTCAATTCTCCAGAAGTCGGAAGGGAAGCAGAGAAGATTTCTTTTGATTTTTTTCTGCATTCCTGTCAGTCCTGGAAAAAGTCGATTCATATGGGCATTTCCTCGGAACTTTGCAGTCTGGATTGATCAGATTGTGCCTAGATGGGTGTTTCATATAGGGCAAAATCTTATACTGGATTCAGACTTGTATCTTTTGCACGTGGAGGTAATTTTTTCTTCCTTGCCGAAATGATATGTTGAAAATCCTTGAAATGAAGTTGAGCTTCTCAGACATGTTGAAATGCCTTTATTTGCTAGATAAACATTGTGGCATGCAATTTAAAAGAATGCTCTGAATCAATATTTTTGCAGTGCTTTTCTCCTATCTAACCTTACAGTTTCACAAAGTTGAGTCTGTTTTGTATGTAACCTGCATAAACCTTTTAGAAAATATTTTCCTGGATTAATATGTTTCACAAAGTAGTGCTCTCTTAGGAAATCTTTCCAGAAATGCTCTCTTAGGAAATCTTTTCAGCTGTCTGATTCATTTCCTGCAGGAGCACAAGATAATGGAAATTGGACCTACCAATTGGCAAAAAGCCTGCTTTGTTCCAACCAAATCAGATGCTCTTGTAATTGCCTTCAGAAAATGGCTGAAGAAGTATTCTGGAGGTCAAGTTGATTGGAGACTGAAATTTGATGGATCACTCCCTCCAACACCTCCTCGTGAGCAGCTTATGGATAGGTGAGTAGTCGCTTCGAGTGTGTTGAACACTTAAACATATGATCTTTATTGGTTACACTTGCCCTGTCCCCTCTCAGTTAGGTCCTGGCTTCTTATAAATCTTGAAAAAAATAGTACAATTATGAGGTCTTTGGATAATCTACTCTTATCATATTTCACCTTGTCTGTGTTGTATACCTTGAATAATTGCATGAGCACCTGCTTGCGGAACCATAGCTTGAAAGTTTTGGTGCTGGCAGATTTATGCTTGACGTATGCAAAAATATCAGCCTTGAAAATCCTTATTTGCCTTTTGTTAGTCTCTCCTCTCCTCTCCCCCACCCCAGCCCCCGCGCGGTGGTTGAATTGGGCCTCATGCCAAATTCATATTTGTCATCTTGCTAGCAGTTACTAAAATCGATCCAAGGTGCCAAGGCTGACTTTAACAGTTTAATAGATATAGTTGCTGAAAATGTTTCAGGTACTGGACTCATGTGGTGAACTGCACCAGCTGTAGTGCTGCATATAAGGGGCTCAATATTGTTGAAACTGCGCTTCAAATCATGTCTGTTGCTCTAATTGGGGTTGCTGCAGTAACCAGGCAGGGAGCATTAACCACTTTTCAGAGAAGTGCTCTGTTATTGGCTGCATTGATATGTTTTTCAGTGTCAAAATGGTTGTCTCATTTCATATACAAGAATTTCCATTATCATGATTACAACCACGCTCTGAGATGAGCAGCCCTCAGGCCATTTGATGTAAGCTGTTGCTTCTATTCAAAAAAAAAAAAAAAAATGTAAGCTGTTGCTTGTAATTAGATTCTTTGTGGAGGGAATTCAGATTAACATATTATTAACTTAGCTCTTTAGCTCTCCCATAAATGGTTGTTGAAATGCCTTACGGCTATATAAGTTTGAACATCAGGTGCTGAACTATTCTACTTCTCGAGCTCTTTCTTTCTAATTTGTCTTTCACAGAACCGCATTCCAATAGAGAATTCTGGAGCAAATATCATAATGTCTTCTGATCTTCAATCACTGGTGATCAGTATTAGTACATCAAACTAGATGAATGCATATGTTAATGAAGATGAATGCAGTCATATTCATGCTGTACAACAAACTAAAAACAATCACAATTGCTGATTTTCTACTTGAGCTTGTTTCCTTGAGTCACACGCCCATCTTCACCAAGCTTATTTGGTTGAATCAATAAATCAATTATTATATAGCCTTGAGGAACACATGCTTCTTATTTCCTTACATGAAATACGTCTTCTACTGAGGTGATGGGCCCAGGCCAGGCTATTAAAACATTTTCTCTTAGATTCATTCCACCCACAAGTTGTACCATCAAACTTTTTGGTCCAATCAAAATTTGAATTCCTGCTTTCCTTATACAGTTATACACATTATAGGATCACGCTGCTTAAGAAAGCGAGATTTGCATCTCATCTTTGCATCTCATTTTTTTTTTTCTTTATAAAATAAAAGTAAAAATATCAAGCCATGGCTCATCTCAGCCTGCTGTCAACCAGCATCCCAAACTTTACTGCTTCTCCAATCCATATTTCAAGGAGTGGGAAGAGTACTTGTCAGTTGCTTACGCCATCTGATTCTACTCGGCTTCCTTATCGTCAGTACAACAGAATAAGTAACAAGTTCAGTATTACCACTAAGAGATCCAAGACTGTATCTGTCTATAGCACTGAGAAAAACATTAAATCACCAAATCAACAGGAATTTGAGCTTGAAAATGAAGCTGCAATGAGATCAGGAGACAAGTTTAAATGGTACGATCAGTGGTGTCCGGTAATGCCTGTATGTGATTTGGATAAAAGGAAGCCTCATGGTAAAAGGGTGATGGGTCTTGATGTGGTGGTTTGGTGGGATAGGACTAAATCTGAGTGGAAAGTTTTTGATGATTTATGTCCCCATCGCTTGGCTCCTCTATCTCAAGGCCGCATTGATCAGTCTGGGAGGCTTCAGTGTGTGTACCATGGCTGGTGTTTCGATGCCTCTGGTCATTGCAAACTTATACCACAAGCTCCTCCTGATGGCCCCCAGGTAATTTTTTCCCCCCTACAAAATGTGTATATATGCCAATTCTTTTATCATTTCAATATGCAACTACTAATTGAAGTGAAATATGCACGTAGGTGCATTCATTCACAAAAGCGTGTGTAGCTGTATATCCAAGCACGGTGCAGAATGGCATTGTTTGGTTTTGGCCAAATTCTGATCCTGAATTTAAGGACGTTCTTCAGAAGAAAAGGCCTCCCTTTTTTCCTGAGCTTGATGATCCCTCTTACTCCCATTTAATATCTAACAGAGATATCAACTATGGGTATGATAAACAAATTTGACATGATCACATTTAGTATTAGTACGTGTTTAGATCGAGTTAATTATTGCTAAGCCTTATAGGCACAAGTGTACAACTCAATGTTGTAACTAGTAAAACTTCTCCTCATCAATGAGTTTCTGGCAAATACTAAACTGTGCAAGTGCTATCTTAGACCACTTATTTCACTTGCAGGTATGAATTTCTCATTGAAAATCTTATGGACCCTGCTCATATTCCTTACGCACATTATGGTATACTGGAAGCGACACTTACTGATCTCAGATAAGTATTCAGATATCCTCCTTGTTATTCAGTATTAAAATCTTTTTTCTCTTCAATTTGTAGGCAATGCATTTTACTATAGTACTATTTTAGCAATTATCATCATATTATACTTGCCTAACACTGTATATGTACCTTTCCGTAAACAATGTTGATAAAGAAGGTGGGAAACCACTTAACATGGGAGTGAAACACTTGGACATCAATGGTTTCTCAACGAAGCTAGATTGGGGTGGAACGAGCAGGTTCTTAGCACCTTTCGTTTATTATGTTTACCCAAATCCATCTCCTTACAATGGCAATGGACCTTTGTCATCAGTAGTAGTGGCTGATGAGGTAAATTTAATTCAGGTTTTCCCCCGTTATGCTTGCCACTAATGTAATGAAAAACTCTTTCCATTTTACATTTTAAATAATAAACACAGACAAATTGCTAGATCAGAGGAGATTTAGAGAACAAGCCTTTTGGTATACTTAATTATCCAATGTTAAGAGTTAGATGGCATTGACATTACTCTCAGATATTTTGCTTAGTTTTGCATTGGAATGTTAAAACACATGATGAATAAGTGACTGGTTGTCAGGACTCATCACCGGCTGAACCATCCCAGAAAAGAGCTATTCTGATATTTCTGTGCGTTCCCATCAGTCCAGGCAAAAGCCGATTGATATGGTCATTTCCAAGAAATTTCGAGGTTTGGATGGATCAAATCATCCCTAGATGGGTGTTCCATCTCAAGGAAAACTTGGTTCTTGATTCTGATCTATATCTTCTTCACTTAGAGGTATTTAATTTTGCCACTTCTTAGATGTGGCCTTTCTAGCTGCACAATGTTTATCAGATTTACTACTGTCGGTTCTCCTAAACTTTCTTTTTCTCATCTTTTAGGAACGGAAAACAAAGGAGCTTGGCCCAATTAACTGGCATAAAGTTTGTTATGTACCAACAAAGGCAGATGCTCTTGTTGTCGCGTTTAGAAGGTGGTTCAATGAATATTCAGAAGGTCAAGTGGATTGGGGTTCCAAATTCAATGGAGGTGCTCTTCCCCCAACTCCTCCACGGGAAGAGTTAATGGACAGGTAAACTTAAATATATGCATTATGTGGTTGCTGTTGATCAGGATAAATCAGTCAATGCAACAAATACATGGTACTAATGTAATTAATGTATCAGGTATTGGACTCATGTGGTGAACTGTTCGAGCTGTAATGCTGCGTATAAAGGGTTGAATTTAGCAGAGTTAGCGCTGCAGGTGATGGCATTTGGCCTAATTGGCGTTGTTGGACTAACCAAGCAGGGTATGATGACCACGGTTCAGCGGAGTGGTGTGTTCCTGATGGCCATCCTGTGCTTTGCAACTTCAAAATGGTTGTCTGTTTTCATTTACAAAAATTTTCGCTATCATGATTATAACCATACAGTTGAATGAGCATCTTTGTAACAATATATGTATGGAGTAATTATTGTATGAACAATTTAAATCTATCATTTGACATAATAAAGTTTAAAAAATAGCTGTACAAGATTGCCAAATTTAACTAATTACTGAATGCAGTCTTTAAGAGAAATAAAATTAGGTAGCAAGAGAAAAAAAAAAACAAAGAAGAAAACTAGTATTGTTATGCTTGTAAGTGTTAATACAGAGTAGTTTAATGTGTCAACACAATTGAAACAAGACATGGGCTGATGGGACCATTCAATTACTCTTCTACACATGTATGTGAAGTTGGGATTGTGTGGACACCATTTCTGTTTGGTGTTCAATTTAATTTTAAGCCACAAATTCATTGATTATCTTTGTTGGTTACAAAAGTGTATACTTGTAGTAGAGAAAAGCAGCAACAATGGCTGCTCACTCCACAATGACAATGTTGCCAACACGAATTCAAACACTCAATCAAAACCTCTGCTTCACCACAACAACAACAACTACAACTACTACTCGTCAGTTGGTTCCACCACTTGCAGATTCTACTTGCTTATTATCTTTCACCTGTAATCATCATCATCAACTTAGCAGGAGGAACAGGACTAATAAATATTCAAATGCTCCCAATAGTACCAGTACCCCTACACCTATGATATCCACCAACGATGAAGTCGAAGTTGAGGTCGAGGAGGAGTTTGATTGGTATGCACAGTGGTATCCTGTCATGCCCGTATCTGACTTAGATAAAAGGAAGCCCCATGCTAAAAGGGTCATTGGTCTTGATATTGTTGTTTGGTGGGATAAAACTCAATCTCAATGGAAGGTTTTTAATGATTTATGTCCTCATCGTTTGGCTCCTTTATCTGAGGGTCGTATTGATCAATGGGGAAGGCTTCAGTGTGTATACCATGGTTGGTGTTTTGATGCTTCTGGTCAATGTAAACTCATTCCCCAAGCTCCCACTGATGGCCCTCCGGTAACTTTATTATTACCTCTGTCCGGATTCTATATATTCAAATTGCACTATTAACGCGACTATAAGTGTATCTACTTGTGTATATTTATTCTTTATATCGCTCTCTGATTGAAGTGAATTAATGTGTAGGTGCACACATCAAAGAAAGCTTGTGTTGCTGTATATCCAACCACAGTTCAGAATAACATGGTTTGGTTTTGGCCAAATTCTGATCCCCAATTCAAGGATATTCTTCTCAAGAAAAAGCCTCCCTTTTTGCCTGAACTTGATGATCCTTCTTACTCCAATTTATTAGCCAACAGAGAGATTAATTATGGGTATTAAAGAAACTTTTTTTTCTCTGACATTTCAAGAGTATATTCTTGATAGTTTTGCTCAATAATATCAAATTGCTGTTGTGACCTTTGATGTGGTTTTGTTTTATATTATTGTTCCTAAATTTTATGATTTACATTTTTGACAGAATATAGACTGTTTCTCTTGCTTGCAGGTATGAGATTCTATCTGAAAATCTTATGGACCCGTCTCATTTACCGTACGCGCACTATGGTATACTGAAAACACCCACTCCCAAAGTAAAGGCTGATAGAGAAGGCGGAAGCCCTCTTAACTTGAGTGTAAAGGACATGGACATGAATGGATTCACGACAAAACAAGACGGGGGTTCTGGCAAGTTCTTTGCGCCTTGTATATACTATGTGTATCCAGATCCACCTACTGACAATGCCAATGGATCAGTCTCATCAGCAGTGAATAATAAGGTTGTTTAAGATTAGGGATTCTTGCCTGTAGTTGATATTATACAAGTATTACGACATTGGTAAAACATAAACAAACTGGCTGATTCTTAGCAGGTGTCCTCAGCGGTGGTGTCAGCCCAGAAAAGGGTTGTTCTCATATTCATCTGTATTCCCGTCAGTCCAGGCAAAAGCCGTTTGATATGGTCATTTCCTAGAAATTTTGCTGTTTGGATGGACCAAATCATCCCAAGATGGGTGTTTCATCTCAATCAAAACTTGGTTCTTGATTCTGATCTTTATCTTCTTCACGTTCAGGTACACTTTCTTTGTAAATTTTCAAGCATATATTATACTACTGTAGTTTTAATGCTATCCTGCTACTAAGCTTTTCTCATCACCATTTAGGAACGAAAAATAATGGAGTTTGGTCCAACCAACTGGCATAAAACCTGTTTTGTACCAACTAAGTCAGATGCTCTTGTTGTTGGGTATAGAAGGTGGTTGAAAAAATATTCAAAAGGCCAAGTGAACTGGGGTTCCAAGTTCAATGGAGGAGCTCTTCCCCCAACTCCTCCACGCGAAGAGCTACTGGACAGGTGTGTATACTACAGAGCTCGACTCTACAGCGTGATTGCTCAAAATTCTGTAATTTTAACAAAGGATCAGGAGAAAATCAAGTTATTGCCACTATAATTCTGGATTGTCTAACAAGTGTGTGCAATTAATGTTTCAGGTACTGGACTCATGTAGTGAATTGTTCCAGCTGTAATGCTGCTTATAAAGGATTAAACATAGCTGAGACAGCGCTTCAGGTGATATCTTTTTGTGTGATCGGGGTGGTAGGACTAACTAAACAAGGAATGATGACCAAAATTCAACGGACTGCTGCATTCACGGTGGCTATCCTATGCTTTGTAGCCTCAAAATGGTTGTCTCACTTCATTTACAAAAATTTCCACTTTCACGACTATGACCATACTCTTAGATGAGAGCATTCAATGTATATTACACTATAAGATGGACAAAAATAACAACGAAAGTGCTTGCTTTATGTAACAGAATTTCAAACCACCACCACCACCACAAGTAGTACTGCAAGTTTTATATTGAGAGTGTGCATTTCACAAACATATAATTTTATTTGTATTTTTAGCTACCATTTTGTATATTGGAAAGGAAACACGCGAACACGAAAGGGCTACAATATAATAATGATAATAATAAATAGCATTACTAGTTTGAATCAAGAACAAAGCAGCAGTGTAATATATAGCCACATTACCAATCCCAAATATTAAAGAGGATTCGCAGACAAGAAAAGGGAACAAAGTCTTCAGTCTATGTCATCATCAGGTTCTTGATAAGATAGTTCCCAAATATTAGTTTCTTGAAGGAGGGTCAAGTTTTTTCTGTGAAGTTGAAAGGCGGCATCCAAACCCAGATGTGGATCATCACTAATTTCCCAGTATCGTGTTTGATCTTGTGGATCTTCGCCTGTTGCCAATGTGATATCAGCATTACTCATGACTTCTGATTCTTCACATTCTCGAACATAGCCGTCCCAAGTCCAAGGAGAAGGAGGAAATGTTGAATCGCCACTCGAATCAGACATTTGAAAATCTAATGGTAAGGAGGCTGCTTTGTGTTGCAAGTTATGGCAACTGTCGTAATCTGCAACTAGATTTGCATAAGCAGACTCAAATCCAGGACTCATACTTGGTAAAAAATCACATTGGTCTCTTCTACTGTATTTGTCCATAACCCCCAATTCTGCTTCCTCACTTTGCAAATTGTAAACCATTTCTGTATCTTGATGATTGAAAGCGCCTGCAGCCTTCCTCTTGTTGTGCTGAAGCTCGTTACTGCGCGCCAAACTCACATCTTCATCACCTTCTTTATCTGTTATGTGGAGACATTGGTTGGTGAGCTGTAGGAGAGCCTCTTCTTGATCCACAACCTTAGACCAGGTAGCAGTATCCTTGGCAGTCATCTTACCCTGAAGGCACTTAGATTTCTTGACCAGCCGCGTCATACGGTTCAAGTCAGAGGACATGTGCTTGATCACTGCAGATAAAACACTCACCTTCCAAGCCTTCTTAAGGTCATGGGGCTTCCTATAAGGAGGGGGACCTTGCTCCACGGAGAGCAGGCCCTGCTCTCCCCACCAAAGCTCGTCTCCTGTAGGCCACCAAGGAGGGGCTAAACCCCTTTCAAGTGGAAACCTCCTTTGAGCAGGGATACAGTGCTGCACAAGTGCAGATAAGAGGGATCCTAGAGTGGTGTCTTGAAGGTCCTGCAACATATGCAACAAGGATGTGGAATTCTCATCATTAAGCGCACCTGCTGCACATTCTGCAATAGCAGGAATCAAGTCCTGCAAGGCTTGGGGTGCGCTTTGGTCGAATTTGACACTCTCCCTCCACCACTCCCGGAGGCTGTCAGATGACCCTGTCACAGGCTTCCCTTTCTCTGGGATGATTCCATACACAAACCCCTGTGCTTTGCAGACTTCCATCAGTTTAACCATGTACTTCAATATGGCGTCTTGAGATCTCAGCATCTTCTTACGCCTCGACTTTTCTTCTCTGCTTGCAGCTGTGCTTGATTCCTTATTTATTTCACTCTCCACAATAACTTCATCATCATCTATTGCTGCAACTGCCGCTGTTTCTGCCTCGGCCTCTGAGGCGTGCTTCTGTGATTTCAGCTTCGTCATGCGCACCTGATCCTTCCACATCCGTTTCTTGAGATCGGCATAGCTAAGCTCTTCTGGTTCGCTTTCTGACATCTCTCCGGAGCTCAAAGGATCCATCAGATTAGATATCTCTACCATTACAAGTACTGATTCTGTATGCACTACCTAACTAGCTATATAAGAAGTGTATTTAAGCAAACACTGAAAGAAATAATTAATTGAAAAACAAAACAAGATAGCCCAAGTAGAGTAGTGCTAGTAATATAGATTCAGTCTACTCTAAAAAATAAAAAGAGCTTTCCTCCCAGATTGGGAAGCCGGACCAAGAAGTATGAAGAGAGGAGCAGCAGAAGAGGAGCAGAAATTGAGAAAAAAGTAAGGAGTCATTGAGGGGTTGAGTTAAGAGAAAAGAAAAAGGGAAGATATAAATATCAGTGAGAAAGAAGAAGATGAAGATGAAAGCCCATGGTTTTGAGGGAGGTGAATCCACACTCCACGGAAGCAGGTGTCTGTTTTGGTTAAAAATGGTTGGTGATTCAATTAAGCAGAACACAGACCACAGACAGAGTTGGTAGTCATATATACAAAGTTTCAGTGCGCCGATTAAAACAACAAATCAAATTTCATGAGTCAGTGCTGACGCTAATCGCATGCATGCAATCACATTACTCACTTTCCCTTTCCTCTCTTCCTTCTCTGCATGACTTACACGTATTACTACTATCTCCTTCATTTCAGCTTCTCTTGCTATTTATTTATATTTAAATATCATGTCTTAGGAATTTATTCAATAACAAACATTATATTATATATAATATTTATTATTATTATATTGTGTAACCGAACATGGTCTTACATTCTCCATATTTGATTACCACCTTTGTCCATTATTGCATACCTTACTTCTTAAACATGAAACAGCTCACAAGTTTCTGACTTTCTGCCATTACCAATATTGCTGCTTGCCTCTCTGAAACCCCATCAGTCTTCTTGCTTATGTATGCCAAATATCTTTACTGTAAATACAACAAAATATTAAGAAAAAAAAATTGATTTCATATCATAAAGATATAGAGGTAATGTATTGTGTAAGATCCAGCTTCACATGAATAAGCAGAAGATATAATTGAGCTTGACTAAAACAATTGAAAAGCAAATTAAATTGAACGGAGGGAATGTCTTACTCACATATGTGATTGTTTTCTTTATGACAAATATATACTCAATATTTTCTTTATGACAAATATACACACATTCAGCTCATTACCATGAGCTGAATTTCCTACATATTGATCACTATATGTGTTCATATGGCCGACATAATACAGGAAATACAATGTACAAGTGCACATACGAAACTGTAATTTTCAGAAGAGAGCAAGTATTTCCTAAATTGAAGTCAGAGATACACTATATAATTATATATACAGGGGATAGGTAAAGTATATCAAATATACAAAACAAGCTAAGAGAAATCATATTTGTCCCCATCATAGTAGTACACTAAACTATGCTGTTTGTACATATGCTCTCCCAGCCTCAGTCTCATGCTTCACTAATCCAAGCTCAGAAAATACATCCTCCACTGATCTGAACACCTCTTCAACAGGTCTCTCAGCATTAATCTGATATATAAACATGATGCAGACAAAAGTTATCAATTCTAACATAAAAAGTCATACTAGTATCTACATTCTAAACAGCTTGCTGCTGTCAAGCAGTTTACCTTTCGGACCTTCCCCTTTTTGGCAAAGTAATCAATCACCGGCAGCGTGGATTCTTTGTAAACTTTAAGACGCTTCCTTATTGTGTCCATGTTATCATCCACCCTTCCCTATGTAAACAATCAAAAACACATAATGCCTACTGCTGATCATTTAACAAGAACTTGACACTTTCACAGACCGTGGAAACATCATACCTGATTTCTGTGCAGAACACGCCTGATCATCTCCTCTTCAGAACAATCAAACACTACTACAATAGTTGGCTGTATCCCCAACTGTATGATAATATTAAAAACTGAATCAGTACAGCTAACAAGCAACATTATGTCATTATGTAAGAAGTAGAGGCCCTGTAACTAAAAACTGTGATAAATTTGCAGTTTAATGATCAAGCAATGCAACAACAACGCATCACAATCAACGTCCAGTCTAATGATCAAGCAATGTGACTAAGTACTGTACCATTTTCTCAGCAACCACACGATTTTCTTCATTGCGGGGGAAGCCGTCAATAAGAAATTTTCTGTTTTCACTCCTCTGCATTGCCTGTTTCAGAAGGTTTGCAACAACCTCAGATGGCACCAATTTTCCTTCCTTCTTGAATTCCTGAATCATTTTTCTGGTGGGAAGGATCACATATGAAAATTGTAACATGAAGCAAAAGCACAGCAAAATTATGTACAATAAAAGCTAACAACCTCTAATCTATTGCAGTAAGACAAATTTCTTTACTATCATGAATATTGTTGCCAATTGCCATGAAGCATAAACACAGCAAAATAATGCGTAGTAAAAGTTAATAACCTCTACTCTACTGCAGAAAGACAAATTCTTTATTATAATTCCAAGAGCACGTAATTTAATCAAATAACTAAGGCACTAACCCAGTTTCAGATCCGCTCTTGACTTCAGTTTCTAGGAGTTCTCCCACACTGAGATGAGTAAAACCAAAGTGATGTACAATTTTAGAGCATTGGGTTCCCTTTCCACACCCAGGACCACCTAGCATTCAGGATTCCAGATATTATTCAGCATCAACGAGTAATTGACAGGAACACAAGCGGTACAGCCATAACCAACTCACAGACAAGGTCTGAATATTGAGAAAGAAATTACCAAGAACATATACAATAATGTCACGGTTTTGTAGCTTTCCAATTGAATCCTGCCAACCATATTGATTCATGAAGAGAGGAATTTACACTAATATAAGGCCAGAGTTGATGGTTAGACAAAGAAAACCACATTAATCTAGACAGCACTACTGTAATTGAAGGCTAGGTTTTGTTACTGTTATCCAACAAGTTTTTAAAGTTGAAACCCTGATGAAATAATGGTAGGCAGTTTGAGAAAGTAGTTAAAAAGGAAGCAGCCAATGAAGGTGATCTGATATAACAAGTACCTGATTCTGCTTGTTCTTCTTCTTGTAGTGAGGAAACCAGTGAATACAAGGTGAGCATTTCTTGGGACAATGAGACACCTACACATAACACATTTATGATTAGTCAAGAATAGCTTAGCATGGAAATGAAGTGTGTATTCAATAAAAGTGGCATGAGGCATGTATACTGCTACAGTACTAGTTTAGTACAGGTGATTGATTGGTTGAAAAGAGTCAAACATGGAGCATTAAACAAGTTTGTATAAGGGGCAACTAAGGCAATGAATTTGCACAAGATTAAGCACACTAAACAAGAGCATTCAATTCATCACACACTTGTATTTAAGTTAAAAAAAAAAAAAAAAATGTATGAAGGGGCAAAAGTGAGAAGGTGAAGATGAACCTGGTTCTGATTATGGTTAGGAGGAGGATGAGATTCCATGCTAAACCTTAATGAAGCACCTGCAATAAATGAATTAAAAGGGGAATTAGATAAAACTAGTCGCAGTTGACAATTATATACTACTCGTAGTAAATGAATATCCCTACCAAAACACAGATATAGAAGAGGGAGAAGTGATAGAGGGGAATAAGGTCGGCGACGGCGTTGGTGTTGTTGCAGTGAAGATGAAGATTAAGACACAGATGAGTTCCGGAAGCTGCTCCTTCTCCCTGGAATAGATCAAACAAACATCTCTCCTTTCTCTTTCATTTTATTCTTTTTTCCCTTTTTCTTATTCCCCCATTCCTTGAAACATTTTAGACAAGTTCCAGAATATATTTTACAACACTTGTTTGTCTTTTTAAACATACGGAACAACCTCCCTTTCTTACAAATTACTAAATTGAAACTTTTAATTATGATTATAAAAAATTAATTTCAATCAACCAAAAATTAATTATATCTTTGGGCAAATAAAAGAAAAGACGAATGGAGTAGTAATCACCAAAAATTGTAGATCCGCATTGACGTTTCCTTTACAAAATGAAAATTGTTCCGTGTGAATTCTGCTTCCGTCAGTGTCTGAGGGCTGGTAATGGTTTACCGTCCAATTGCGCACCTACACAGCCAATACAGATTAGCTAGCCCGGGGGTTATCCGAGAATAACCACTCCGATGCTAAAGTCAGTACCTTTGTGAGAAGAAAGAGAAAGAAGAGAGAGAAAGTGTTTTAGAGAGAGAGAGATTTTACCTTTTAAATGGGGATTTGCTTGGGTATTTATAGAAACACAACCAAGCAGGTGTCACCTATGCAAATAGGTGGCACACCGACCCTATAGGCAGCAGGTGCCGACGTGGCCCGAAGCAGCTCTCTACGTGGCATAGAATAACGCCGATAAGGGCCATGGTTTATATGCTAATTAACGAGGGTTTAACTGTACCGCACTCTTTTACCGGCTAATAAAGGATGCTACCGGTATATCCCGTACAAAAATTATTATACAATTGGAGTTTAAAGTTTTATCAATCAAATTCACTCGTTTGGCTTGAACTTTGATTTTCGATAGGTTAAATCTTTTTTATTCCTAAGTTGACTGATGTTGGTGAATAAAAGTAAAATACGTACATAATATAAAATTATTAAAATACATTTATCTCCTTAACTACATTATCTACAACCAATAAAAGTGATTTGGATTCATACCACAAAAGATCAAACACACACAATTATAAACAAATAATGATATGATTTCCCTATTCTTTAACCTAAAAACTTATCTTTTTTTAATCAAATAGTTGACTTTGATCAAAAAAGGTGAATGAGATTACAATCGGTGAATAAACACAATAAGTTTCTCATCTGTGAAAACTAAAAAGTGAAGTGAGAACTTGTTTGCTTGTTTAACTCTAGCAAATTTGCTAAAAAGGAATCTTTGCCACCAAATTAAAAAAAAAAATACAATGATAAGTGATTATTGTCGGCAAATCTGAATTAGTACATGATTATTATAGTGATAGCTTAACTTGAGCAATGGGCCCCAGAAAATTCTACTTAACTCACAGTCAACTGAGAACTCAAGTTGATTCATTTCTACTCAACAGCTTCGGAGAGGACGAAGATTTACAGACTTACTCAATTCTGCAGCTGAGCTTACTGTAAGTTTCCGCCATGATTTTCTCTCTCTAGATTCTAGTTTCTAGATCCAAAATCCAATCTTTGAATGCTTTTTGCAATTTCAATTAGCTTTACAAACCCTAGATCAAATCAATTAAATTAGGGAGAAATATTTGATTTGATCTTGAAAGAAAATGAAAGAGCCCCTGAATTCAGCAGAAGCCCCCATAGCCCAAAAGCTAATAAAGCAAATCAGCAATGTATGCTTCTCTGTATTCGTATTTGCAGTATTAATAATAACTGTTATTGCAATCACTTACCAACCCCCAGATCCATGGCTTCAATCTGCTCCTGCTCTTACTAACCTCTTCACTCAGGTTGAGAATGCCACTTTCAAAGACGACTCCTCCGTCCTTAAAACCGGCGAGGATTTCTCCCTTCCTCCTGCTCTTGCTCCTTCTTCTGTTTCGCAACCTATTACTGAGACTCTCATTGCTAATTTTGAGCATAATCTTACCTCTAATGCCACCCTCGCTCCTGCTGCTTGTGCTGAGGACCTCAAGGCCGGGGTCAATTGTTCCGATCCTCGTGTTTTGATCGCTATTGAGCGCTTTAATTTGAGGTTGTTTAAGTCCATTGTCTTCCTAGAGTATTCTACTCCTGTTAATGGTTCCAAGCCTAATCAGTGTGATGTGGCTTGGAAGTTTCGGAATAGAAAGGAGAAGTCTTGGAGGAAATACAGGGATTTTCGTCGTTTTAGGATTGGCCTTGGGGATGATTGTGCTTATAAGGTTATTGGTGCTAGTGGCTGGCATTCTGGTGTTAATGCTAGGCGCCCTAGACCACGTCCCACACCTGCCAATCGTAATCCCAAGGTGGCTGTTCCCTACCGGGACAGTGAGATCAATGATACTATACCCAAGATTAGCTTTGATACAAATTTTAGGAGAGGGAGGTACTTGTATTATTCCCGTGGTGGGGATTATTGCAAAGGGATGAATCATTATATGTGGAGTTTCTTGTGTGCTTTGGGGGAAGCTCAGTATTTGAACAGGACGTTTGTGATGGATTTGAGTGTTTGTTTGGCTTCTCAGTATAATCCTAGTGGCAAGGATGAGGAGGGGAAGGACTTTAGGTTCTATTTTGACTTTGAGCATCTCAAGGAGGAGGCTTCCATTGTGGAGGAACGGGAATTTCTTAGGGACTGGAAAAGATGGGACAAGAACCATAAGAGGAAGATTCCAGTGAGGAAGGTGGCAAGCTATAAGACCACACCCATGCAACTAAAGAAGGATAGAAGCACCATCATATGGAGGCACTTTGATGCTCCAGAACCAGAAAATTATTGGTACAGGGTTTGTGAAGGACAAGCTGCGAACAACATTAAGAGACCATGGCATGCTCTCTGGAAATCAAAGAGGCTGATGAATATAGTTTCTGAGATTAGCGGGAAATTGGATTGGGATTTCGATGCAGTTCATGTGGTTCGAGGAGAAAAGGCTCAGAACAAGCAACTATGGCCTCACCTGGATGCCGACACATCTCCTGAAGCTATTGTCTCAAAGCTTCAAGGAGTGATACAGCCCTGGAGGAATTTGTATATTGCCACAAACGAGCCTTTCTATAACTACTTCGATAAACTAAGGTCACATTACAAGGTGCATTTGCTTGATGATTACAAGGAGTTGTGGGGTAACACGAGTGATTGGTATAATGAAACTACAGCTTTGAATGGTGGCCGCCCGGTCAATTTTGATGGTTACATGAGAGCTGAGGTAGATACAGAGGTTTTTATCAGGGGAAAGACGCGGGTGGAGACATTCTACAACTTGACCAGCGACTGCAAGGATGGTATCAATACATGTTGATCAGGTCTGGACATTGTCCATTATAATTCTTATAATTTGAGTTCTGTACATCTTGCAGTTCATGTGTCTCTATCAGAACTACACATGCCAGTTTTATTTTGTTCATTCATTCCAGATTTTTAGTCTGTTCTTCAATGATGATTGGATATGTTAATTTTTTGTACCATTTAATTACGATTTGTGCAGTTAATAGAATTTATTGTCTTTGTACCGAAAAGCAGTTAATACCTTTTTTCACATATGTACTAATCCTAATGTAGGATTCACCACCCATAAATTTACTGAACGAAAAGAGTTGAGAGTTGAGATTATAACTTATCTTGTCATGCTGCAGATGTTTCACCACCTTTCATGAATTATATCTTTGATTTTGAAATATCTCTACAGATTTGAATATTAGGTGATCATTGAGTGATTGAATATTGTTTTATTTTTGATAGTTTCCAACTTTAAGGCTTACATAATCCTGATCAAGGAGTTGTGTTCCATTGTTATTCTCTGTATCTTTTAACTCGAATCCTGAATTCTGAAGCTTTTTTTTTCTCTCTCCTTGTTGCAATGGTGGTTTACGAGCACGAGCACATGCAGACATTTTTACACAAAAAGGCTGGTTCCATGCTTTGCAATTAACATTTTTTCATTTGAGATTCATACAATGTATTGATGGAGTACAAAATGCTGTATATTGGATATTATAAACATCAATTTGAGATTCATACAATGTAATGATGGAGTACAAAAGTATATCACTTCCTTTGTTCAAATCCAGTGTGAAGAACTGCCTGAATGTCTCGTTTTTGCATGTTCTGAACACTCTATTGGGGTTCAAGCTATCTGGAATACAGGTAGGACAATATTATGATAAATCACACCAAGCAACATTAAGTCTCAGACTTCCTGCTTATCCACCTCTCTATCCAAACATCAGATCAGCAGCAGTCAACATCACTAGCAAATGAACCATCTTCAGCCAAGAAAAGGGCAAACAACAGCTCACAAACATTCTCTCACACTGATGATTCCGAAGGAGCACCAGTTCTGGTTGCAGAGTGACGCTCTACAAATGACTCCACCAATGGGTTCACCAAATGGGGTGCTTCATCCTGCACAACAAATTAATGCAGTTGAGAGAACAGGCATAAAGTTAATACTACGTAGTTAGCAAGCATAGGAGCTAAAAATACTAAGTCAAAAGTGTATGTTTAAAGCAAGGAAGACAGACCTGAGGGCAGTGGCCTACACCAGGCAAGGCAATGAAATCTTCAACAGTATCAAAGTTTCCATAAGCTCTTCCGAGCTCAATGGGTTCCCATGGATCTTTGTCACCCCAAACAATTAGTACCGGGCACTGCAAAGAGGAACAAAATTTGTATGCGTTCAGACCTGAGGACACCCATATTGACTCATCATTACCATATATGAGAGAATAAGGAACTAAAGAGCAGCATTTAAGATTTAAACACCCCTGACCTTAACTAGAGGCAATAGCTCCTCAGGAAGAGGACCATCCGAATAACAGATAAACTCCAGAAAAACATCAACAGCACCTGGCTCCAACCCAGGAAGAAGGATTTTCTCAACTAGTTCCTCTGTCACCTGGGAGGTGTCATTGTAACACTGAAATAACATCTGTTAGTCTAAGCAAAGCCATCCCCCTTATTCCATAACAACATACAGATGGTTCTATTCACAAATTATCCAGCTTTAAGCACTGTGATTGTACATATCTTTCTACTCAATGCATAAAATGAAGTAGAAAGGTTTGCACAGACAAGAATACCTCAAGGTCTTAGCAAGAAGACAAGTACACATAACACCAGTTGTGTGCCATACTTGGTATCATACCAATAGTGATTGCAGGTTGCAGGAAGAACCAGAACATTTGACTATACATGTGTTCCATTTTTACATATTCTTCTAGTGAAACAAGCTAATTTGGATTCCTGCTGGTATCTAGGCTACTACTATACTCTTTAATAATAGGTCTCTACATTTCAAGAGATCATAATGATCCTAACTTTGGTTATGAGAGTGCAAAAAACATAGACAAACAGTTGATACCTGGCACAGAATGTTCCTGACAGATTGAGGTGTGGCTACTGTTCTGAAAAAAACTTTACCTAGATCGGTATTTCTGCCACATAACAAATGAAACGATGTTACAGGTTGAGTTGGAACACAGCAAAGGGACTGTTGGGTGCGGGCAAAATCTATTACCGCAGTAAACTCTGAAAGCCTTTGATTAGAGGTCTGGCTAGTGGAGGCTGCTTTTTGATATGAAGCATACGAAGAGATATGTTTAGTAGCATAAGACCTTTGCATATCTGTGGCTCCATAACTGCAGCCTGAAGCCCAACAAGACCTACAAGAAATGATGATTAACATTGTTCATTGCTGCTAATCTATATGAACCACGATCGTTGCTTATGAAATTCAGACAATGAAAAGTAGGCACCTCCAATGGAGTTGCATATAAAGAATGCCCCATCTTTGACAACCTCAACACAAAAGTCATTAAGCTGGGACGCCCACGTCTCAAAGGTATAAAAAGAAGTGGGGCCAAAGTCGCGAGGGTTGGGCTTATCAGAGTAACCATAACCAATGAGGTCAATGGAGTAAACCCTGTGTGACATTCCCAAAACTGGTAGGTTTTTCCTCCAATGATCACTGTTGACAAGAAACAGGGCAATCACCAATCAATAAATGAATGGATGAACTTATATTCACATTTTATACAGTACACTTGAATGATGAGAAGAAAAACAAAAACCTGTTAGCTCCGAAGCCATGGACGAGAACAAGTGCAGGGCCGGTATCTCCACAGCGTTGATACCGAATCGAATATCCCCTCCATTTCCACTGGCTTTGCTTGTTAAATTAACATGAAAATTAGTTTGAAATGATAAATTTATTAATCAACAAAAGAAATGAAAGAGAAGAGAAAATTACCAAGAATGGACAGGTGGTTGATGTTCAAGGGTGTATGTGGGATGATCAGCAGAAAAAGAGCTAACTACAATTTTGGGTTTAGTTGAAATTGAGGAGGTTGAGAAATTGGGTACAAAAAGAGAGTTGAGAAAAGAGGGCTGTGAAAATTTGAGGTAGTTTCTTGCTCTTCTTCTTCTTATGCTTGTTCTGCTGCTGTTGCTATGGAAATAGAGGTCTGAATTACAGACAGAAATTTCCAAGCTACTCATTTTTATGTTTTAATGTCTGTGTTTTGAATTGTCTCTACTGTCTAACTTTGTGCCACAACCAAAACAAAGGAAAATATGTTTGGTGGTCACGGTTGTCCCAAATCCTTTATTTCTCCGCCTCTTCCTTACCTGTAGTCTATCGACCAGATTTCTTTTCTTTTCTTTTCCTGTTCACTTATTTGGATGGAAGTACAAGTAATGGGGTTTTCCGTTTTCATCATGTTGCTGCTTAGGCGTAATCTATGCATCACACTGTATTAAATAACTATCTGGATTTATATGAATTTTGTTTGATTTTATTTTGAAATTTTTTTAATACAAAAGTTTAAAAAAAAATGTTGAATTGGACTCGCTCATTGTATCTTAAGTATCAAAGTTCAAAGGCGTAAACAAAATTTTAATTTAGGTTATCAACCTTAAAACATTACCTTCTAAGCTACTAACATTACATATTTACTTTATACACTACTAGACCCAACCTAAACAGGCCACAGCATTGTTTGGCCAAGACATTGCTGGGTGTCCATGTACTGCGAGTAAAGACCTTGTGGTAAACTAGTTTTGGCAAACCTTATATTGACTTTGGTACACATCCTTGTGATTAAAAGCGGAAAACTGTACTCTTAATCTGGTGCCAAAAGTCAATGTTTAGTGTGCTAATATCATTTCAACTTTGTGGTTGACAGACTTTGGCACTCTCACACAAGTCACAATAGACTAGCAACATGCTGATTCTCGTCAACAATCAATTCTATTAAGATAATAATTAGAGCCAATCAACTATTGTTGAGTCCTGCTAATAATCACAAGGTCTATACTTTATACAACATGAGCAAGGAGCAATATCTAATTACAGCGATATAAAAGAAAGCTGCTACTTGATAACAGAGCTTAAACTTGCTGCTTTGGTTGTCATGTGCTCACTGGAAATACCAAATTAAGGAGCCAGATGATTGTCCATGCTTTCTAACTTAAATGTGGTATGTGGCCTTATATGCTTGTACTTTTGTTCACTGTTGAACCACCTTGCACATTCCATAAAGCCCTCTGATGGCATCAGCTTCAGTACATCAACTCCCTCTTTCAGAGCAGCATCAATCTAATCACATGCCACAAAAAGTCAAAAATCATTCAAGGAGGAAGTCGGGTCAGAGAGGATAAATGGACACATGGAGTAATGAAGTTCAGAAACTTACTTAAACAAGTGATGGGTATCAAAAAAAATTACATCCCAATTTTAAGAATTCAGAATTCCCTTCTCTCTTCTCCAATTTGTCTCCTCAAACCTTACTATCGCATATATGGAAATTTCACTATAATTTTACATAACATTATGAATCATTCGAAGTATCTTATCCACACCAAACTACCTTTTATCTGTGGTACTCAAACCTGTCTCTGCTAAGTTGAATATTATCCTTGAGATGGACCCAGAGTGGCTTAAATATTGTCAGGTCAGTATTGTTTCACTTTCACTACATAAGAAGCTTGTGTAGACAGGTCATAGAATTTCAAAAGCATATGACCCAACTTACCCGTTCTCTTGCCAATGAATTGAACTTTTGGAGCAAAAACGCTTTGGGGTCCATTTGTCCAGGAGGCCTCCCAATTCCTATTCAAGGTTGCATTTATCAGCATATTAACAAATCTAACAAGCCATAAAAAAAACTAAGCAATTCAAACATACCAATTCTAAGGCGAGCAAAGTCTCTGTTCCCTCTAAAATGATTAATTACACTCTTCAGCCTGGAGTCACAATAGGAATAAGTGATAGGTCACTTCCACTGGGTAGAATTAAAATACAGAGCACTTCATATAAACAAAAGAAGCAGATAGGCTTTAGTTTTAACTCTTTAAGTATAACACAACACACAATAGCAGATTTGTGACTCAACATTGTAACTTCCAAGAAACCAAGATCCTCAAATACTCTATATAGACTGCTATATTATAATTTAATTCTCTATAAGTAGAACTTAACCAGAAGAAAACATGGATATTCCCTTGCCCTATAAACAGCTCAGCTAACAAATTTTCAAATTACAGAGTATGCTTGTGTTAGTAAAGATTTCTTTTCTTTTTTAAGGCTCTATTACATGAACTATTTTTCTTCTTTTCTTACTTCCATAAATGGTCTCATTTTAAATTTAAGCATCAAAAGCTAACCTCATGGAAAACTTTTAAGTAAGCCTTTTCTTTTTCTTTTCCTATTTGAATCATTAGGGGGGGGGGGTGATTATTAATACAGTCCCCTGACAATCTTGGCTCAGGCGGAAGTGGAAAAATGGGCCTAATCATCCCAGCTAGAACCTAGTAGTATGCTTGCATTGGCAAAGATATGTAAATGTTAGCCCATGATATAAGACTGAAATAAAGACAACGACAATTTGATACTGAATAAGTGAAAATTTGATTGAATCAGTGAGTCGAATTGACATGACAACTGAACAGGAGATGCATCAATTCAATATGCATAAATGAAGATACTTGATGATTGTTTTGAACTTCTGATACTCTGAATAAAAAAAAAAAAAAACAGCTATAAGTGAAACCCAGTAGTTTGAGAGCATACCCATTGTGACTGCTATGACCACCATTGTGTTGAAGCCGAAGTACGCCACATGGCAACTCCTTGTCATCATGGAACTGCAGATTGAAAAGAACCCTCAAATAGCACAGCTTGTCCAAAAGGATCATGTATGTTGAGCCAGGGGAAAAAAAGTAATGAAGTTAGCAATGATTGAGAATACATTACCACCATCACTCGATTTAGAGGTAGCTTGTAATATGCTGCTAGTGGACCTGTCTACAATCAAGCGAACAATGATTAGCACCAATCTCCTGAAACAGAAGCTTGATCACTTATTTTGAAGACAGAATCCATGAATGAAGCATCTGCTATTCTTGTACTGTAATAAGCAGAATATCATCTACATTCATTCCAAAATCTCAATAATAACACAACAGAGTTATAGGAAGCTGACTCACAGATTCGCCACATAAGTTCATGTAAGTCTGAGGTTTTGCTAGGAAAATTGGGACATTGGCAATGAACCCTAGGAACAGAATTACAGTTTTCAAATAAATTTTTGAGGAGGTCAAATTAATCAGAAACAGTTCTTTAGCTGGTAGCAGGTAGCAGAAGTAGAAAGAGAAGCAAAACCTTGGGCAAATAAAGCTTTACAATGGACATTATTGAGTGAAATGCCAAGAGAATCAGCAAGTGCATCAATCATTTCGAAGCCAACATTATGACGAGTGCCTTTGAATTTATCACCAGGATTGCCTAATCCCACGAAAAGCCATGGCAATGGAGGGTTAACACATGTACTCAAACTCCGTCCAACAGCACTGTTTTCTCTGCTCAACCACCTCAACATCAGCCAGCCTTCCTCGACCACCACGGATGACACCCAATGTACTGCTTTTGAATCCTACTGCACCTTGAGGGCTACAAATATCGCATACCAGGCATATAACATCACAAACTCCGCATCATAAAGGGTAACAAATCAATTGTTGTCATTTTCATAGTTCCGTCCTAACATTTAAGGGTTATAAAGAGTAGTTTGCAACACATTAGTCATTCTATATAACTCACTTATCAAATCAGGCTCCAAAAATCGCATAAATTTTTTCTTGCTTGAGAAAAACAATGCAAATTTCACAAACAAAAACTCTAGCAACAAAATAGCTCGTTATAATCTAATCACTAAGTTTGGTAATTATAATCAAAAGTTCAATAGTCCACCTTATAACAGTTAGAAAAACCCTGAATCAAATTAACGATAAACCCTATATTGTGAAATTGATATTGATGATTTTACAAAAACTAATAAAAAATAAAATACCTCGGAGCTGTTTCACTGGAGGAGAGAAAGCTCAAAAGGCGCTTCAGTAAGTTTCAATTGTGGAGTGGGTTGTGTGGGAGAAGAGAGGTGCAGCAGTCCAGTGAAAAGCTTGAAGGTGAGAAAAATGAGAACATAGGATGAAGATTAATGCCACGGACATTACTTCAACCGTCAGATCTGCATAATATCAACGGTTTTTTATTCTTCGACGGAGTAATGTTAAGAAGTGGCTCCGTATCATTTAAGTTTCACAAATTTTCGTACTTGGGCGTTGCCGGCCACACCGTATGACCGAGATAGCATAGGGTGCGTTCTATTCACTTGATTTTTACTTATCTGAACTTATTAACCCTTATTCACTACAAGAAAAATCACTTTTCGTATCGATTATTTCGTAGCAATTGTTCATTCGCTACAATATGCAAGTATGTTTGTGAAATAATTAAGGATGTCGTATCATTTTTACGATCGCCATGGTTTTCCCATATAAAATCGATACGGAAAGCATAATAATACATATCCACACTATTTTTACATATTTATATAATTTTTAGAAATCGTATCATTTACAATCACCACTAAATCCTAAAAATCGATACGAAAAGTCTTTTCAACACTAGATATATAAATATTGTTTGACAAATAATACATAAAATATGTAACACCCCAATAATTCTCTCTTTAAACCTGTGAGGACCTTGAACAATATTCAAGAGAATTACTGACGTGCTACCGCCACGTATTCAAACGTTAATGCTTTATTAGAAAAAATAGCAGCGGAAAAACTAAATCAATTATAAATAAGTTTCAAAACCAACGAATGAAACCAAATTAAGTCATACAACTTGGAACCATTAAGGCCCTTATTCAAAACCCAATAAAAGTAGTAAGTGATTAAATTCAGTGTTCAAATAAATTCAAACCCAAAAGAAATAGTGTCGAATTAAAATAAATTCAAACTTGCAAAAGAAATAAAATGCAAACAACCAACTCTCTACTCAAGATCCCACAACCCTGATGAATGCTGCATGTGTAAGAACCTGTGGTAATTCTGCTCCCCAATATTACAAGTGTAAAAATTGGATCGTCACAGGGTCATTGAAAGGCGAAGGCCATGACCAAAGAAAGACACACAAAGCACGCAATCAGCAAAGCTGAGTACATACAAACTGCGAAATAAATTAAGAAATCCATAACATGCTACTAATAATCAATCATCATGCATCATTAAATTATAGACTCAACACACGACTCAACTATTTATATTACTAAGACTCCATTAATTAATAATAGGTAAATCATTATTTTTATTCATTGGATTACGCAATAGACAAGGTTGTCCAACCCATGCTCCATTTGAAACATCAATAAAATAAAAACCCCATGTCTCCTTTCGGAAACATCAATAAACATCCAACGACCACGGGCACGACTCCGTGACCGTAGTTGGTATGAGATCTCACCTAACTCCTAGTTTTGAAAAATATTTGAAATAAGAGACTCGTAGATCAGACGCCCTCGAGAAAAGTACACGGCTAATACCCCATGTACCCCAATCCCTGATTGTCATTACTCCAGAAGTGCACCAATCTAGAGTTTTATTGCTCATCCATCTTGCATTTTACGTGATTTACAGGTTTAGACTTGGTGATGACTCATATGCATAACAATACAATCAATCCAATATCAATTCAATCAAGTAAAACAACTTTTCAATTTCAATTCTTGATTTATTAGTGGCAAACAACATTTATTAATTCCTTTACTACCTCGATGTATAAATACCTTGAGTGCATAAGTGTTAGAATCCAACTCCTTTTGATGTATTAGATTCCATTTAAGTGCTTTCCTAGAGTTTAGGTTATGTTTTCTTAGCTTAAGGTCCCATTATTGTGTTACTGTCAGATTAGTGTTCACTAGGGATTCTCCTTGTATGTCATTTAAAGCTCTTTAGAGGGCGAATGATTAATGAAATCTTAAAGCCTTCTACCAAGTGTTGCCTTGCTTTTATGCTTGTTTGTTGTTAGACCTTTATAGATATTGTGTCTTACTTGCATATTAGCTCCCCTCCAACCCAACTTGATGCGCTAAGGACTCGTGGTTCGGACCCGCTTGTGCCCTCTTTAAAGTATCGGCCGTCACAAGCCCCGACCACCCGCACTCCGTCGCCCAGATAGACGTGAGTGCTCCTAAGATTCTATTGCCCGCTTGTGTTGCTTTGTGCTCACAAGCCCCTCTTCCGCTCAAGACTAGCGTTCTTGCCGCCAAAAGGCTAGAGCGCGCCGCACGTTTCGGGGTCCAAACTCCCGGACCGTGACAGTTGGTATCAGAGCCGAGGCTCAAACCTCGTCGTAAGCAACCCGTGTAGGCACCAAGGAGGGCTACACGAAGATGGAATTCGTAGAAGAAAGGCTCGCTTGGCTCGAGGAGAAGGCGGACAAATGGGCCGAGCTCCAAGTCATTGTACACGAGCAAGCCGAGAAAATTGTGAAATTGATGGCTGACAGAGATGCCCTCCGCGAACAATTGCAATTTGTTCAAGGAAAAGCCGACGAAGCACTTGAGAAATGTGCTACCTTAACGCGCGCTGTTGGCAGAGACGCACTGGGTGTTGGTGCGGCGAAGATAAAGCCGCCCAAACCTCGCGACTACAGTGGCGCTAGAGATGCGAAAGAAGTTGATAACTTCCTCTTCGACATGGAGCAGTACTTCCGAATATGTCAACTAAGTGACAATCAGAAGGTGGATACTGCCATCATGTACTTGTCCGAAGATGCTAAGCTGTGGTGGCGCACCAAGCACGCAGACATCGAAGCAGGAAGGATCAAGATTGATACATGGGCGGAGTTCAAAGAGGAACTCAAAGAACAATTCTACCCCGTCAACACAGCGTTTGTTGCACGGATGAAGTTGCAAGAGTGCCGCCAGAAGGGTTCTCTTCGCAACTATGTTAAGGAATACTCGGCGATAATGTTGGACATCACAGACATGAATGAGAAAGATCGTGTGTTCAACTTTGTCAACGGGTTAAAGGAATGGGCGCAACGAGAGATTTTGAGGCAGAATATTGATACCCTCGCTGCTGCTATGTGTGCTGCTCAGAGATTGATGGACTACTCAGTCGGGAAGGGTCGTCAATCCGAGAAGGATTCAAGTGGGACGTCAACACGCTCTAACAGTCCGTCTCCAAGCTCTCCAAAGGGTACAGAGAACGGCTCACGAGTATCGTCCAACACCATTAATACATATCATAGAAGAAGTGGAGGAGGTGATGCCCAGAGACAAACATCTACCCCCTCCCACAACTCAGGAAACTCGAGGGTCGGCGCATCCTCGGCAAACACAAGGGCAATAAACTGCATACTTTGTCGAGGTCCACACAAATGGTGGGATTGCGAGCATAAAGAAGAACTTGACAAGATCCAAAAGAGATTGTCATCCATGTCCGTTTAGGAGGCCACAAAAGAGACTAGCAGCGATGAGGAGCCCACATATAGGATGGGTTCCATACGATGCCTGAGTGCTATGAGAATGATAGCACCTCAAGAAGAACCAGAAGTCCGATATCTTTCGGCAATGCGAGTGATGGAGCCTGAGAAGAAGGCAACATCGAAGAAACAAGCTCGCACCAGAAACCCAGAGAAGTGGGAGATGAAGCCCATGGAGTTGGAAACATCCCAGATACACACCCGCCAAAACCAGAATCAGTCACAAGATTCGAAGCAAAGAGCGACGAGCCCAGAGACACCAAAGAGACACCAAAGAAGAACCTCCCAAGAGGGAGGAAAAACAGTGGTTGAGCAAACAACGCAGGGCGCGTGCAAGGGATTACAAAGAAAATGGTCACCCAAGAGGCACCAGCCACAACTTGAAGCTCTCCACCACAGTCTCAAGGAAGCAGCTCCCCAACAGATGATGGTGGAAGCAGCTGTCCCCCTTAATTCAACAGATTCCACTCCCAGGAGGAAATTTAGAGATGAAGCTCTCAACAAGATGTTCGAGCCGAGCGACTCCAGAGACAAGCTCCTCGTCAACAAAGAAGATCCAGCTCAAGAGTCAGATAAGATTCCAGAAGATAGCCGCACCAACGGGCGCATCCGAAACTTGAGATAGTTTAGGGTTTTCTAATTTTGATTGTAACTTTTGTAAGTCGACGAGGTCGTCGACAGCTTAAGTGGGGGAGGATGTTAGAATCCAACTCCTTTTGATGTATTAGATTCCATTTAAGTGCTTTCCTAGAGTTTAGGTTATGTTTTCTTAGCTTGAGGTCCCATTATTGTGTTACTGTCAGATTAGTGTTCACTAGGGATTCTCCTTGTATGTCATTTAAAGCTCTTTAGAGGGCGAATGATTAATGAAATCTTAAAGCCTTCTACCAAGTGTTGCCTTGCTTTTATGCTTGTTTGTTGTTAGACCTTTATAGATATTGTGTCTTACTTGCATATTAGCTCCCCTCCAACCCAACTTGATGCGCTAAGGACTCGTGGTTCGGACCCGCTTGTGCCCGCTTTGAAGTATCGGCCGTCACAAGCCCCGACCACCCGCACTCCGTCGCCCAGATAGACGTGAGTGCTCCTAAGATTCTATTGCCCGCTTGTGTTGCTTTGTGCTCACAAGCCCCTCTTCCGCTCAAGGCTAGCGTTCTTGCCGCCAAAAGGCTAGAGCGCGCCGCACGTTTCGGGGTCCAAACTCCCGGACCGTGACAATAAGGCACCCCAAAACCTTAACCTCGTCTTAGAAGACTTAGATTCTTCCTTTACTCATCCTGCTTGCATAATCATGAATGAGTAATAAATTAATCATTACACCAATCATATATCTTTGCCTCTAAGCGCACCTTGCATAATTAGAGCACAAATAATACTTACAATATAAAATAGTGCACGTCATACGAAATTCACAATGTATAACCAAACAATATAACTCAATCATCCCTATACATGATACTAAGTTCTCGATCCGTCGTCCTTAAGCATGCACCTAAAAGAAAGGTTTCGTAACTTGTACGTACCTTGAGCAAACGAATTGGTATGCCACTTTACTAACTAGAAATCACCTTCAATAAACTCCTCTCCTAAGCCAAATAATAACATCTCAATCAATACCCAATCAATCAAATTTACAGCAATACTAACTTACTTTAAAACCTTCAAAATCCAAATCAAACAACACTTTAAAACCTTCCCTTTAGTTAAAATTAAAGG